CTCACTCACACACACCTCACTCACACTTCACTCACTCACACACACACACACACCTCACACACACACACACCGCACACACTCACACACACACACACATCTCACACACACACACACACACACAGGTTTGTTTTTGTGAAAAGTGGGGACATCCCATAGGCCTAATGGTTTTTCTACTGTACTCGACTTTGGCTCGACGATATCTCTCTGTCTGATGTTGTAGGACATTGAAGCCGATCACTACACACTCCTGAAGAAGTTAAGAAAGCCCCTTCCTGTGGATAAAATATCAAGCGATCTTGTCTACAAGCCTCCCACAGCGGTCCGAATGCCATCACTGGACCGCGGAGCTGGAGATGGTGAGGAAAACTGATGTTTAAAGGCCTTTTCACACTGAACGCGAAGACGCTTTTGAATCAAAACAGTAGATCCCTGTGGGGCTGTTCACACCAGGCACGATCAAAACGAATCATTTTTTGTGTCGATTTTTTTTCCCCCGTCGCTCCGCGATGAAACGGGCCGTCCAATGAGATTTGAGCTTAGATCACGTGTCCGGAGCAGCTGCTGTTGCACAAAAGGGTGCGAGTGTTTCGAAAACCAGAGTAAACAAACACCGAAGAAGAGAGTGGATGCTGAGTTCTTGTTATCATTGGTATCTGAGAACAGATCTATTCTCACATGTTCTTTATACAGAATATCATTTCTATTAAATCTCCACTGATTATGTGATCTGAAGAGCGCTGTCCGTTTTCTTCCACGTGTGCGAGCGTGCTCAGATCTGTCAGAAAGGGCTTTATTACCAAGTATGTTTACACACACAAGGAATATGACTTGGCGACAGGAGCTTCCAGTGCAGAAGAACGTACAGACATACATAGAGTGACACAGTAAAGATGAAATAACACTAATATAAGACAAACAGAAAACTAAATAATGCACTATATACAGAAATAGAAGTATAGAGAAAAAAACATGTAATTGTTTAAATGAATTTACAGATATGTTATTTACAAGTGTACCGTTTATGTATTTAACAATATACAATTACCAGATACTATGTATAAAAGTGTCAGTTATGATTTTTAATTGTTCAGGCTGAATATGGCCTGCGGGGGGAAACTGTTCTTATGCAGCAGCTCAAAGAGGGAGTGAGCTGGGTGTGAGGGTGGTTTTTCCAGCCCTTTTCCTCACTCTGGAGCTGTAAAGATCTGTGATGTTGGGCAGCTTAAAGTGGGTCAATCATGTGATCATATCTCCTGCCCTTCTGTATGAAAAAAAATTGAAACATTTTTCTACACATGAAATATGAACGCAAATAGACATGATTGTGAAGAAATATTTCCTGTATGTGTTTTTTTTTTTTTATGAAGCTCATGGTATTTTTATAACAATAAAGGATGTTTATGACGGATGATATGTGGGTGTAGCATTCAATCAATTATAAAACATGCAAAGAAGGCATGTCTGACTATTATAGATCAAAATCCACTTTAGGTCAAAAGCGGACGTTATTACAAGTATTAAAGTGGGTTTTAAGCAAAAACATTAATAATCACATAGATTTAGCTAATTGTGCCTCTATTTAATATGTATTATTGTAAGCATTATAGATAGTTTGTGTTTCTGGTGTGGAACCAAACTGTATTTGTCTTAATTTAATGCTGTTGAGCAGCAGATGATGTTAAATCCATATATGAATTGCATATCTGATGAAAAATGCATTGTTGTTGGCACCACCTAGTGTGCAGGCGTGAATTAGCAGAAGGCGATTAATCGTTTTGCGCTCGGTGTGAATCGGCCTTTAGAGTTTAGTGCTGTTTTTAACACACTTTAGCATGTTTAAATCCATTTTCCAGAACAGAAATGTTCATAAAGTCTGCAGATTCCGTGTTATGTTTAATATTTGTGTGTTGTTCGTTCAGGTAAAGAGGGCGTCTCAACAGAACCAGCTCAGCCCGAAATCCAGTCCACTGGTTTCTGACGGTTTACACTGGACCTGATAGAGGACTTTCATCTCGCGCAAACACACACTCCGCACTCTGTGATGTAGCCCCTTCCCAGCATGCCTTGCGCCTGGAAGCACCATCCAGGCTAAATTATGTGTTTGTGTCAATCAGAAATTCGTGTCTCGGGACGGACGACCCTTCGGCCAGCGCTGAGAAAGAAAGGAGGAAAAAGAAAGTAGTAGCGCATTCGAGAGAGAGAGAATGAGATGTTATTGACGAAGAGCGTAATTGTGAAGAGATGCGCGAAGAACAGGAAGTGAGAAACGCAAGTGGAACGTGACCTAGCGCGGCTGAAGACATGACTCTGTCCCGCGAAGGAAACCCAGCACTTTACCTGCTGTTCGTCTGTTTCTCGTCAGGAAACTCGTGGATACAAACGGGCGACGTTTCGGCCGCGTATATCGCGAGCCGCGTCCATTTACAGATAAACTGCGTTGACAAATTCAGGTTCTTTTGCACTGGGACCCCTGTGGAAATACACAAGAGGGGGAGGGGGCGAATAAGGATGTCTCACGAAATCATTGTTCGTTCGTTAATATCGTAGCTTGTATTTCATTGCGTAACACTATGCGAAAAAAAAAAAAAGGAAGGAAAACGAAAAAAGGTGAAGGTTTTGTTTTGAAGATTTGTGCTCAAATATCAAATGAACGTACGTTTGTTCGGTTTCTACGCACAGTTTAACACTATCGCACAGTTCGTAACTGGACTCCCGTTTATATCGTAACGGGGGAAAAAGGGGCGTGTCTATGAATTCTGACATCATGTCATGTGACCTGCAAGCTGACACATTTGCATTACGTGTAAATACTGTGAACTTTTGTCGCTCACTGTTTGCGGTAGTTAATTCGTAGCTCAACGGGTGCTCGAAACACAAATGAAGGGATCGGGAACTAATAATAAAAAATAAAAAAAACGCAACTTTGCGTTTGAAAAACGAGCGTCTTTATAAGTGTTTAATTCGTACACCTAACCTGCCAAAGGAGGATTGTTACCTCACCTCCTTTTAAGTTTGTTTTGTTTATTTTTTATTTTAATAATTGTTTTTGCGAGTTTATGCGTGACTGCAGAACGTTTTTAACGCGGATTGAATTCGGCGGCGGTTGCTTGTATGGATAACTACTGTTAACTCAGGTGGAGAAATGTAGATGTGATTTCTCTCGTTAGCTTTAACTCTTTCCCGTGCGTTTCCTTCTCGACTTTGGTTTCTTGCCTCATTCCTCCATCGTTCTACATTCATTCATACTCGTCAACGGCTCGGCAATTTGTACGCTGAAGAAACGAAGAAACCCATGCTCGTGCGAACTACTGTACGTAAAGGTTTGTTTTTATTTTTATTGACATTGACTCGTGTAATATAGTTGACAGCCTGTTTTATATGTTCATTTCCTGTAAAGCTCTAGTCATTTCTTTAATTTTATTTTTTGTAGATATGACAAGCGAAAAGATGTGTAAATTATTTTCTCTTCCTCTTTTTAAAAATGGCGAGATTGTTAGACGCACAGAAGGAAAACGAAAACCCGTGTTAAAAAAACTCATTTGTTTTGTGAAATTAAAAATGTTTAAAAAAACAACAACCGTGCAGTGTGTTTTTGGTGGGGAATTTTAAGGAAGGTTTCTCATATTCAAAACCTGTCCGGACTGATTTTCTTCTCACATTCCAGTAACTTTATCTCTGATGGGGAATGAAAAGCTGCTTTGGAATTGGATATGGCCTTTGAAAACAGATTGAAGCATGAAAATCGATATCTGTCAATATTGTTGTGAGCACTAATGATATATAGTGTGAAAACTAATAGTTTTTAGCAATTCAGAAGCATTTTATATATAAAGGTGAGTACAGGAATGCAGTTTGTATTGAATTTGCTTGTTTTAGTTTTTTGGTGTACGGATATATAATATTATTTCTTAAAAGGCTAATGTCAGACAGTTTTAGTGGAATTATTTGAGGATTTATTGATCTTTTGGAACTGATGTGTTTTCATAAATGTCAGATCAGGGCAAGCCGTCGCATGCTTTTACATCCTGTAATTTTATACAGTGAATTACTATTTCTGTTCGCCAAAAGCACAGTTTATAGGTTACCTTTTAGATCTTAGCTCTTTCATGAATCACGTTTTGCTTAATTTGTGAAGCTGCTGTTTATATTTTGCTGAGAAGTCTGTGACAACTTAACCCATTATAGGAATAGTATATGTTAAATGCATGTATTATTTTTATTTTTATTTTTTCCCCTAGTAAATGTTCAAAAGCTTTTTGGAGTCGCAAAGCATGTGTGAGTACAGAAATTGACTTGGAGAATGAAACCAGATACATATTCACTGGAGTATAAGTGTGACAACTAGCCCCGGTCTATTGTTGCACACGTTTGAAACCTTTTGTGAGCTTTTAATATCAAAGAAAATGGCATTTATATATATATATATATATATTTAAAAAAGTTATATGATATTTTGTTATGTGTGTGTGTGTGAGTGTGAGAGGGAGAGAGTGTGTGTGTGTGAGTGTGAGAGAGAGAGAGTGGAACAGCAGCAAAAACGGCCTTTGTGTGTGTGTGTGTGAGGGAGAGAGAGAGTGTGTGTGTGTGTGAGTCAAGCAGCAACCTCTCGCTCTCTCTCTTGAATCCAACACGCAAGTGACTTAAACTGCAATTCGTCGACTGGCCGCTCGAGACAAACCCATAGCTATGTTAAAATGCCCAGCTTTACAGCAGAAACAAATATATGTTTACAGTAAGGTGACCGGATTTCAGAAATGAAAACCAGGGACATTTCCTAGTTCAGTGGTAAAATATCACTGAAATCTCACTTGTGGTTATCTACGAGTTAAAAAACGGGGACAGTATATTTTTGCTTTTTAATTGTTGTGGGATCCATAGAGAGAGAGAGAGAGAGAGAGAGAGAGAGAGAGTGTGAGGGAGAGAGAGAGAGAGAGTGTGTGTGTGTGTGAGGGAGGGAAGGCGGAGCAGGAACGTGGGGGAGGTCGGGTCGAGTCGGGCGTCCATTCGGGGCGTGTATCAGCTCAGGTTTGAATGGAGACGGAAATATGTGAGTGAAGAAGAAAAAAGAAAAACACGGACGCGAAGTAGAGTCCACAGGCCAGAGAACATTTCACATTCACTGATCCGAAGCGATTCGGCAAGAGGAGGATTTCACTCACCTGCAAACTGTGAGTTTATGAAGAAAAGGGATTTTTTTTCTTCTTTTTTTGTATCGTGTGGATTATTCTTCTGGGGAAAAGAGATACAAAGAGGCGAGTGAAAGTGGCTGCTGCATGTATCATCTGCGGGATGCAGAGAGTATCAGTTATACTTCCGTTTTAAAACATTTTATCATTAATATCTCATTTGGATGGGTTTCTATTACATGTTATATTCAGTCTAGTGTTGCATGATATGTTTGAAGTAAAACAGTTGGCCGTGAATCTGTCGTGGACTTTGCATTTAAATGCACCTCAAGGATCCGCTCTCATTGTTTTCTGGGCTTCTGAATGAAGCTTTGCTGGAGCGGGTTTGTTTCGCAGCTTCTTTCGGACTCTTCTTTGTGTTCAGAGATCCGCAAATTCAGCCGTTTGGAAGAAAATGTACAGCCGGTTATAGTCTAAGACGTTTTATGTGTTGAATCTCTTTTTGTAACCACAATTAATAGTTTGAAATTGAAAGAAAGTGTTGTTTTTTCTGTTTGGATGAGTCTCAATACAGTGATATTTAGCGTAATGATTCATTTTAGTGAATCGATTTGTTTCAGTAACCGCTTCGTTCGAATTCCCTCCCAGAAGTCTTCTTGCGTTTGATTTTGTACGTTTTTGGGGTGTATCTATATTTAACTTTTTAAATAGTGTTATTTTAACACTTGTTTGTGTTTATGATTCCAGCACACCACCTACCTCGCAGTCGAGCGATTTACGAATGTGGTGCGAATCGGTTCATCTGAATGATCACTTTGAATCGGTTCAATAGAACGATTCGTTGGCCAGTCAGGCATCGCTAATGATAATTATTCACGGGATCCTGTTGCACTTAATGATTGTTAATAATGTACATAAAATGCATAAAACATTCATATAATCACTACATGTAACTTTTGGGATTTTTTTTGTTTGTTTTTAATCGTTAGCGTTTTCCTCGAAACTAAACTAATTGCATACTTTTCCCATCTGAGTTTAGTGATTTTCACATTTTGAGTACATACTTGTAAAACAAACTCGCACGTTTTAAAAGTGATTTGTTTGTTCATTGTTTGTATTTCGCTGTCTAAAGCGTAGCGAGACCTCAGTAAGAAATGCTTGCTCTACTTAATATTTTATTGGGGTTTTTTTTGTTGTTGTAAATTGTCTTTATTATTTACGTGCAGAACGTAGACATATTTGTTTCTTAGTTTTGTTCGGTTACGTTGCATCTAGGTTACTGTGTCACGTCGAGTGTGGTCGCATGAAGGCCCGAAAGCCTCGGACTCTCGTAGGCGCGGGCGGCGGGGGTGTCGCGCATGTCACGCGGCGGTGATTGACGCCGCCAGTCCGAGGCTTTGAGGCCCGCGCGGTGCGATGAGCTCAGATGTCTCCTTTGCCGTCTCCTAGGAGACTGTAACCCGAGCACGGCATTGAAACACTCAATGGACGCTCATTTCAAAACAGTTTGACATTCACAGTATGCTTTCCATTCTTCATAAACGAAAGTGCACTGTAGGTGTTTTTTTTAGGCTTCATTTGGTGCCTGTAATGTGTCTTGTGACACTTGACCATGTGTGTTTGTTCAACTGTGTTGTTGTTTAAATAGGTCAGATGAGACCAGGAATAATGGGTAACTGTATATGCAGGCCAAATCCACACCTGGGACCGGTGTGTTAGTTCATAAATCACAGCTGCCACGCCTCACCTCCACACCCATTACTGCAGCTGCCGAACGCATCTGCACCGAATACCAGATCAACGTCTGCACCTTTACAGTAAAACTGCAGTGTCGAGTTATCCTGGATTCATATATTCAGATGCAGTCTTGTATGATGTGGATGCTTGGTTTGGGGTCAAATAGACGTTTAGAAGATGTCTTTAAGATGTTTATGATTTGAAAAAACCAGCATATGCTGGTTAGGTATGTTTTGAAGCTGGGATGCTGGTTTGAGCTGGTTTAAGCTGGTGCTTTGCTGGTCCTTAGCTGGTCATGTGCTGGTCTTAAGCTGGTCGGACCAGCACATGACCAGCATAAACCAGCAAAAGGACCAGCATAAACCAGCAAATCTTAAAGACATCTGTCAGATGTTTGTACACATGCTTTCCAGATGAAGTGATCTGAACATAACATCTTGCAGACGTAGGCTACGTGTGCTATCTGGGAAAGCCCCTTTTCTTTCTAGAACTGGAATATTGTCCATCCTATTAGTTATTGGTTATGTACTGATTCATTTAGTTTCAGGTTGTTTTGCTCATCACACCTGTATCTGAAGTGTTTACGAGCGGTTCCCACATAAACGCAAGTGTTGCCAGGAGGTGTCGCGTTTAAAGTTGCAGACAGATTTTGATGGAAATAAGGTTTATTGTCTATTATCAGTGTAACATTGTATGAATCACAGATCATGCAGAACTTGGCCAACATGGACTAGTTGCGAAATCTTTCGTAAAATCGCCCATTACATGGATTCCTATTGAAATTACTAGATTTTGCTTGCAAAAATTAATTGAACAACATTAAATGTGACCAACCTTAAAGGCCTGCTCACACCAGGGAGGATAACTATAAAGATAACGATGAAGATATAGTTCTCAAAAAATCGTTCTCAATATTAAAGAATAGCAGAGTCCACATTACAGCTATAACGATAACGGCACAGAGAATCACTTTCAGAATGATTTTTTTTTTGCAGATAATGAATCAATCCTGCTGTAACGAGCTTGAGAATTTAAAGCGGCAGACGAGAATGCGCTTGCTGTGGTAACTGTGATAATTTGAGTAATTTAATGATTCTGGTTCAACTTTATGATTTCATGAACGATTCTCTCAGTGCTCTGGAGGAAGTGTCCCCCAATAATTGCCATATTTTCCAAAAGTCACACGTGGATAAGTTGCACGGGTCAAAATTGCATTGTTGAGAGAAAATTAAAAAAATAAAACAGAAGTCGGATTTTACAAAATGTTTACGTTATTTCAGTTCCCCTCACTTCACAAAATCCTTTACATTTAATTGTATACAGAACACAATTATAGTGGCACTCCTTAATATCAACATTTACTATAAACGCCAAGTCTAAACGAATTTAAAGTGTGTGCATGTGAATGAATTTACTGAATTAACCGTCATTAACCAAACTGATTTCTGTTAGCAGTGCAAGAGCTGATATGTTGTGTGTGCGCTACTTGATGCTAATTAGCTTTGGGATATAAGTTATAGCATGTTTGAGATGATTAAAAACCTGG